TAATCGATAATGTATTATTGAAGAATAATGTTTTAAAACATTTTTGGTATCTGAGAATATTTTTAGCAGTCGGAAATTTTTTAGGCAGCTTAAAATATTTTAGGCAGCCGAAAATATTTTAGGCAGCCGATATTATTTACGGTTTAGGCAGCCTAAAATATTTTCGGCATTACGGCATTACGGCATGCCAAAAACAATTTAGACCCACATGTATATGCGTACGTACTTAAAAAAAATGGGATCCACGCTAAATTTGTGAATTGCTAATCCTTCATTGTATTTATTTTTTTTGGTCAAAATGATCTACAATATACGCAACTTCATTAACTTCATTGTATTCACTGTTTTTGGTCAAAATGATCTACAATATAAATCAGAAGCCTTTTTGAACGGAAAAACTGAAAGGAGGAATATATTGTTAATAATCATATTTCTATAAACAATTTATTTTTTTCTAACATATAACCTAAAAATATGTTTATGTATTTTGTTAGTATCATGCACTTTCTGCTCAGCTCAGGTCAGCCAAGTGTTTGCAAGAGCAAGAGCTTATAGACAATATAAAATACTTTCAATTTTGTGAAACAATATCATTTTTTCATTTTTGCTTGCGTAATTTAACTGTGTGTTTATAAATTTCAGGGATGATACTGAAATCAGATGATGCTAAAATTGGAACTGTGCAAATCCGCAGTCTTGATTAAATATATTAAAATCCACTACATAACTTACACTCTTTTATTATGAACTCTAACCCTAAATTGTAATCCAACTCAAAACAAATAAGTTTAAATTGCAGTATCATTCCGACAATAATATGTAAATAAATCTGTAAATTACGAATTTCACTACCAATCAAATCTCATATTTTATGATAGGAGGAAATTACCATATCTCCAGAGATCTGTTAATACTGTCTACTACCCGAAATCTTCTGGGATTCATTATATTTTAATTAAATACGTATTAATTTTTTAAGTTAGGTTCATTAAAACTATTTAATTTTGTTTTAAACCAAATTGTTATTTTTTAAAAAAAAGAGTTTTTAAAAACTTTGGTCGGCGGGTAATGCAAAGCGAAATTTTACTTTGTGTGCCCTTAATCATCTGATCTTAAATTACATGCAGTTAAACCTCTCTATATTCACACCCTTAGTTTTAAAAATTTAGTGCTTATAGAAAGTTTGTGTCTATAGAGGTAAAATTTTATAAGCGTTATATAAGTTGGTTTTTAAAATTATGTGATTATAAGCAAATGTGACTATTGAAGAGGTGACTATATAGAGGTCCGACAGAATTGTACATATTGAGTCAATTATGCCGAAATCACTAACTTAATCATTACGGCGCATTTTTACACTACCCTAAAATTTATGACACATATATGACGCATATGTTAATGTGAGTTAAATGATTTGACTGTGATTAACTATCGATATGTATTTTTACTATATATATTTAAGAAATATATAATTTAATCAATATTTTACAACTTTGTTACAATGAACAATACGCAAGAAATTCATAATTATCCATTCGATTCGATTATTAAGTTTAAACAACCAAATCGTAGTTTTTATATAAAGTCATCAAAGAAGGCACATATCCTAACAAATCATTACTAGCACATACCCTTCCGCCAAATAAATATCCAATTCCTGATGATTATACAATAGAAACTACATGGGGTAGAGGCAATAATCAATGTACTATTCGATGTTCTATAAACTATAATAAAGAAGGTCCAGTTTTCTATATCTATTTTGGAAAGTACTTCGAATATGAAGTATTTTCTATTAAAACGGCCACAGATTCTGCAAACTTATTTCATAAAGTTTGTATCTAATACTATTTTAAGAAAATATTTTATATTTGTATGAATTAATACAATTTAATTTTTCAGAACTAATATGCCTTTAAATTGTTGTATAGTGTTCTCAGGCAAAGTATCAAGATCGGAACGTGAAGTATTGTATTTTGTAACAATGTCAAGATGTCTTTTTAGTCCTCTATTTGTTTTATATGAATTTCCACATACGTTACATGAAATATAGCCATTGAGTTACTAAAAATAGAAGAATTGTCGTTATTAACACGTATATGTATGTATGTACGTATGTACGTATATGGTATACTATAAACAGATCGACTTTAAAATAAATTTTACCGTTAAAGAAGGAGATGGGTTTTAAGGTGGGAAGATGGGTTTGACGTGATCACTATATTAGTTTTATTCGATTTGGGGTTCATTTAGTATGTGCGTCATGTGATTGACACGTAATCATCATTAATAATCACGATAATTCAATAGTAATTCGGGGTTTTTAATTTAGGCCCAATTCCAAAAAGGCGCAGTGATGTTGAATCCGCCAAAAAATCATTAAGCTAATTTTTATCAGGTGTTTCAAAATTTAAGATAATAGCTATAAAAGGATTGAATTGTTGCTTTTCAATTGACCCGGTTTTCAGTTAAACTTTCACCTAGGTGACTAATAGCTCACTCTTTGAGTGACCCGATGGATACTTTTTGTAGTTGACCCGGTTTGCACTCGGGTGACTTACGAC